GGCCGATGGCGCGCAGCGTCTCGCCTGCGTGTCTCGCCTGCGCGTCTGTGTGCCCATGGGTGTGCCCGTGTTTGCCTCTACCGGGGAGAGATGGGGAGAAGACCTGGAGGCAGCAGTAGCCCAGTGAGATATGGGGAGATATGGGGAGATTGGCTGCACCTCGCTGTGCTGGCCGGTGCTCGAGAGGACGAGGAAGTGTCTAGGAAGTGTCTAGGAAGTGGTCTAGGAAGTGCCTAGGAAGTGGTCTAGGAAGTGCCTAGGAAGTGTCTAGGGAGCGCCTCGATGTGCTGGCCCGTGCTCGAGAGGACGAGGTCAAAGGCGTCCGGCGCCTTTGGTGTGACGGTGAAGGAGTACTTGACGTCCTGGTAGGTGAGCTCGAGCGGCATGCCCTGCATCTCGCGCAGCGCCAGCGTCGAGAGCTGCCCCTTGTCGAGCGACTCCTTGAAGCCGGCGATGTTGTCGGCGATGAGCTTGTGGCCGCGGTAGACGGCGGCGTTGATGACAGCAGACTGCGGCTCAACCTCGACTGAGACCGACTTTGCGGCGATCAGGCCGTCGAGCCACGCGGTGTCGAGCGTGTTGTCCTTGAACTCTGGCGTGTTGAGCAGCTCGCCGAGGTACTCGACCGTCGTGCGGATGTCGCCCATGATGAAGAGCTCCTTGAGCGCGAGGACGAGCGCCTTGCGCGCCTCCTCGCGCGTCTCGCCCGTCGCAAAGACGTGGCCAAACTGCGAGTCGGCAAACTCGTGCACGCCGCCGTCGGCGACGACGGAGAAGTAGCCCCACACCTTCAGGGGAGAGAGGGGGGGAGATGCGGGAGAGATGCGGGGGAGGCGGGCTGCCGGCTGAGGCTGTTGGACCTGAGCGAGCGCCGGGCGGACGAGATGGTGCCCGAGGCTCGGCACGCGGAGCTGGCGTGGCTGGTGGAGCGGGCCAAGGCCGAGGTGGCGAGGGAGAAGGCGGCGGGGCGGCGATAGAGAGATGGGCCCAGGTAGGAGGCTCCACGCCACCTGACTCGCGTCGTGCCACCTGACTCTCGCCTGGAGAGGCCTCTTAGCCGAGGCACACGTGGCAATCGCCACGTGCGCCAACAGGGATTTCGGCCATTTTAGAGCCTTTTGCACAAAAATGCAGGTGGCTTTAGCCACTTGCTCCATGAGCAAAACAGTGCAAAAAGCACCTGGAGCAGATGGCTTACGCCGCCTGTGGACATGGGCAAAACAGTGCAAAAAGCACCTGGAGCAGATGGCTTACGCCGCCTGTGGACATGGGCAAAACAGTGCAAAAAGCACCTGGAGCAGACGGCTTACGCCGCCTGTGGCCATGGGCAAAACAGTGCAAAAAGCACCTGGAGTAGATTCCAAACGCCGCCTGTGGCCATGTGATGCGCTCGGGTGGCG